ATATATATATACTTAGCACAAAAAGTAAGTTCTAATTTGTGTTTTAAGATTATTTTCTTTTGTGCAACAATACTTGGCAAAACATCTTGTGCTGCTGGAAAGCCTGTTAATTTCTCTTTTAAACTGAGCCACATTTGTAAGGAACATGCATTTGTGGGATGAGCAGTAGAGCTGAGTATGTGGGTTCTGCAACTGAAAAAATAGCCAAATCTGTCAAACAGCTTATTTTACTGTTGCTATTGACACTTGTTTTGAGCTGGTACCCCCCACGTGCTGACAATCAGGTGCACACTGTAAGATTTATTGCCAAGAAGCATTGTTACAACAAAGAAATAATCTACAAAACACAAATGTACTTACTTTTTGTGCTAAGCATATGAATGGTACAGGGTTTATTTTGGCAACATGAGAAAGAAAAGTGGTTGTAAAGTGACTTTACAGTCTTAAATGGCACAGTTAAAAAATCTTTCCATCAATGTCAGATCCTCATCAGGATGTGTCAGCAGAACAGATGTGCATCAGACGTGTCCAGCAGCTCTTCCTCTGAAAACACTGGAAATATATCAACTTCCGCCATTAAACCGAAGTAAACCAAGTTTTTGTAATAGTTGATTTTCATAGAGTATAAATAAATTAAAATGTTATTGTAGTATCTGATTTGGATTAACAAGTCAGCTTAGCTTGATGTTGAAAATAAGACGCTTTCATTTCACTAAAACACATCTTTCAGGCTATAAACAGTTGTGTAGTTTCAGATTTGTCACATGGATTAAAACTGGTTTTGGTTCAGAAACCCATCTGCTTTTAGCAGAAGTCAGTGCAATTTCATTTTCAGTTCTTAATAAAGTTGCTTCTCTTTTTATAACCAAACTCACCGATACTCCAAAACAACCATGAGCAGTAGGTCTGATGTTCTGCTTCAAATATGTCTTTTTCTAGTCTACAAGTTGTTTAACACAAAATGGTTAACTCTCACGGCTGAGTCTTTGTTCCTGCTGTCAAAGTATACTTAAACAGTAAAAATTGTACAGTTAAAATTTTTAACTAATTTGCTATAAAGTAGAATGTTTTGGCCCCAGTTCTATCAAACATACTGCTTCCTGTTGCTTTTCAGGGCAACTGCAGGAGCAGATATAAGAATGATGCCGTTACYTCATTTAACTTAAAACAACGAATTACACGCCACAAACTTTAGGGCATGAAGTTCGCCCCTTAGCAGCAAAAAAACACAGCTAATAATTTAAGTTTGTAGATGGATGTTATGAAGAGGTTGTTGAAGGTTGTTTGTGATTTTGTCTCATGTTGTATTGGAGGAGCAGCGCTGGAGGAGGAGGGCGTGGCAGGTGTCGCACACTCTGACCGGTTTGGGAGAAGCTGGCAGGGGAAGCTCATTGTCTGAGCAGCTGTTGCAAAAAATCTCCCCACAGTTCCTGCAGTGGTGCTGTGGAAAAACAAAACAAAAAAATCTTTACATTCCCGCATGGCTCATGTTCTGTCCAGTGAAAACTCCGATACATTTTTCCCAACTACAGTATTTGTACTGAATTACAAGCTGTTCTCTCTAAAAGTAAACTGATGTAAATTCTGTTGGCCAGAGAGATAAAAATTCATATTTTTAAAAATCTAAAGTCCACTRAGTACTGACCTTTCGTCTTGAGATGGAGAACTCCTTCTCACACAGCTTGCAGTGAGTCGCTTCTTTGTCCTTCAGCCACACTTGACCCCCCTAAAACCAAAATGTTTTTTTTACTCAGAAGTTGAAAGAAAACAAAAACACCTTAATTTGTTTTAGAATCAGAAAACAGCTGTTGAAGGAAATGTGAAACTGGTGGTTAAAAAGCATGAAAATACAGCAAAGTACAGCATGAGTCAAAAGTCCCAGGACACACTTATTTCAGAAAAAAAAATGACTGACTTCCTTCTTATTGTAACTCCACAAGCCCCTCTTTCACCCTTTCTGAGGCGGTCTCTTTAAGCCCGAACACAAATATTTTTATGTAATAGTTAGAAAAACCTCAGAAAATATAGAAAACTGAATGGGTTGAAAAAAATTGACCCAAACAGAATATAAAGATATCTACGCAGCCCCAAGAAACTACTGTTTTTATTCATGTATTTTACTATAAATTCAAATTTTCTGCACTCTTAGAGACTCCAAGTACACAACAAAATGTATTTAACAGCTAAAAATGTGGATTTTGCATATGACCCCTTTAAAGTTAGTTGTTTTGTTTAAATTTCTTCAAGAAATAAGCTAGARGCACAGAAGAGGTTTCTGCTTTTGGGTCTCTCTGTGACCTTACCTGCAGAGCTTTGTTGGCTTCTTTGATGTCCTCAATCTTTAATTTAGATCTAATGTAAAAAAAAAACATTTAGACAGCAATGGAGAAATAAAACAGGAAGTCATCCACCACAGTTCAWGGATGAGACTAAAAAGGAGGAGACTATAACTAATTAATAATAATAATAACAATAATAATAAATATTACAGCTATCCKCAATAACTAACAGTTTAAATTTATTTTCCGTTTTAATTGGAGGTTACATACTCGCTGAGTTTAGAGCCGAGCTCCTCCAGAGCCTGTTCTTGGTCCTCACAGATCGTCTTCAGCTGAACGTTTTCATCCTGGAGACGATGGAACTCCTAAAACCAGTCAAAGGAAATCCCAGACAACACAATCATATGTGCTGACAGCTGCATGAAATAAAATATTAAACTAACTAAAAGATGAACATGTGTTTATTTTCTTCACCTTTTTCAGTCCGTTGATCTGTAACGCCTCAGTGCTGAGCTGAGCCACCGTGTCTCTTTCTCTGTCCAGATCACTGTGTAACGTCTGTCTCCACTCCCTCTCGATCTTCAGGTCTGTCTCCAGCTGCTGGCTACAAGTCCATCATAAACATAAACAACAAAACTATAAGATAATGTAAATTACTAGACACAGCTTTTTAAACCTTATTTTTGTTCTCTTTTCTTGTTTAATTTAAAACTAGGGGAAGCCTGCAACTTTTTGAACAACGACGTAACTTCATTTATATTCCTGCTATTTCAGATCATAACCTCTAGGGAGCAGAAGGGTTCCAGGTACATGTGAAAATGTGTAAGTCTACAACATGTTGGTGATGTGCTTACAGCTGCTTCTCTCTGTGTTCGATCTGCCGCTGCAGACTGTCGGCCTTGTTGGCAAAGTCCAGCTTGAAGCGCCTGGATCCCTCCTCGGCTGAGGTGCGGTGCCTCTCTGCCTCCTGTAATCTGCACCATTATAACCAGGGACAAACTCAGGACCATGGAGAGAAAAATCTGGGAGGCGTATGTGCGAGGGGGGGAGAAAATAAAATAAATAGTGATGGAAGGGAGAATGTGAGGGGTATGAAGGGAGGTTTAAAGACTAATCCCTGTGGGTGTGATGATAAAGGAGGGCGTTGTAATCTGTTATTTTACAGTACCAACAAGTGAAACTACGTGCCACAAAAGGGGTAACATTTTATATGTGGATCTATAAAATACATTAGGAAGACAAAGGGATGATGTAATACACGATGAAAATATGAAGGGAAGAAAGTGAAGAAGAAAAGACTAGATAACCCAATGCAGCCCGAGCACCAACAGACAGAATGATCCGTCACTACGATGTCTTTTGACCCCACTGATCATGTGGTTTTATAAAACGAGTTAGAGGATGGGTTATTTACCTCACAGATATTTATTTGGTTTAAAATGTTTAGAGAGATGGTTCTTTCTGGCCATTGGTGGTTTTAAATTCTAACAAAGTGAGGACTGCAGAGGAGTACCTCAAGGCTCAATTCTTAGTCCATATTATTTTATTCTTTTAAACTTTTGTTGGATATTTTGTGGTTGGTTAAAGTATTTTAGATACAGTCTTGTCCTTTACTTTGTGATCAGTTGTAATAATTTACTTTAACCAGTAAGAGACTCAACAAGTTTCTACATTAATGACCCGCTTCGGATGTTATCATCCATTAAATGGACATTATTAGCCATTATCAGTACCACAGAATGGCATCAGGCTATCCCGACTGTGCCGCCTAGTGGGTTCTCCATCCYATAGAATGGCTTCAGWCTGYCAGYTGGTTAGTATGAGGCATAAAACCAMTAAGGTTTTTTATGCAATCTGGTTAATATGAGGCATAAAGCCACTAAGGTTAATTTTAGAGAAAATGACATGGGCTACGATAAAGTAGACCAGACTCCGGCGGTAGCAAATTATTGCATTCCAAAGTATGTGGCACTGGTAACCTACTAGGGGGCACTGTCGGGACAGTCTGAAGCCATTCTATGGGACCGATAACCACTAATAACATCCATTTAATAGACTGATAACATCCGAACCGGCTGATATTAACAGTATAAACATAATGTTTTTATTTCAGAAATGTAAAACTGTTTTAGGGGTATGACATCCTATCCGGAGTGGGACAAGAGTCTCAACAAGTATGATGAGATCATGGGAAATCAGGCCGTTTGTGTCTACTCGCAGACGGGATGGACCACAATGCTGTGAGTATCTTTATGTGTGTGTAAATAAACATTCAAGACTGAGTTTTGGACCGTTAATTTTATGAGTTTTGTACATGAATCCTTTCATTTTATTTTGCCCAGAGCATAAAGAAACACGATTGCCAGCCTTACTTAAATCCTATATTTTTTTACATGATGAATTTGTATTAATATGGAAAAGTCAGACAACAATCTACAACTAAAAATATATTTTTCTGTAAGAACTCGAGATGAAAATGCAGCTCCTCTGTTTTTTTTTCATAAAATATTCTATAACCTGTATCCAATTCTCTACATTTTGATAAACATAAAATCACCTTGTTCACCAGGAGCACATTTCATTGTTTGTAATTTGGTCGGTAACATCATAAGTCACATATGGGAGATTTTTGGATCCGATTATTTTATTTTTAAAACTTTGATCATTATAAGCCGCCACACTTTCCAGCACCAAATGGTTAAAAATTCAAACTACAATCAGCACTTTTCAAAACATTTAACTTTATTAATCACTGTGGTAAAAGACTGTACTTGTGAGTTTTCAACAGCTGTACTGGGTCTTTAGTTCTCTACAAAATGAAAGTATAAACATGTAGTCACAATAGGCAGCAGAGTTAATCCCCAGTATATAATCATCATGAGTCAGCAATTATGTTAAGACAAACAGCAACGCGGAACCCTCAGAGGTTTACAGCTATGATTCTAGTTGTTACACTTGGTTGACTAGTCTGTTCTCCAGATATAAAACATGATTCACACAAAAACCTGATCTTCCAATTTTCAGACTGTGAATGTGAAGGAAACAAGTCGTTTCCAGTTTTTTTATTTTTTTAACCACACTATATTTCGTGAAACACTAACTAGATCTTACATGTTGAGGGTGCAAATTTTAGATTTAGCAGTAGTCAAAAAATCTCTTTAATAAAAAGTCCACTGCTTTTTGCGATGCCATCAAGTGGTTTCATAATAACAATAAAATTTCACATGATGACTGTCATATCTAAAGCCCAATTTCAAAGCTCATGACCTGTGTGTAAAGGCTTACTGACCGATTTCAGACACAGATCCTAGGCAGGTCAGAAGGTTTAACACATGCAACAAAAACCAGCCAGAGTAGAAGCAGGAGGCTGCAGGAGCACCTTCCTGTCTGACCGCAGGTCTTTTATGAGCCTCACTGACTGGAACGAAATCATGGCTGCAGGAGAAATCCATTTAGTCACATTGTTGAGGTGATTATCACACTACTGCTCAGCTGTTGAAATTAAAGCATCCTCTAACAAACAGCAGAGGCACGGTTATTCAGATATCGCAGCTGAGCCAACATGGACACCGCTGTGGGGCTACGTTACGATACTGTTCTGACAAAATGCTGTTTAAATACAACAGGAACAACTGTATTAGTTCTCAGAGTCAAAACTACTTTATTGTCCATCTTAAAAGCGTATAAACCGACTACTGGAGAGTGTGTAACATCTGTATGCACGCCTAAACACACGAGTTAATAAAAAGTGGTGTATAATTAATTCAAAATGTCTTTAGTTTCTTTAAAACTACTTTAAAGAAGTGAAAATTAAGACAGTTCTCTTGCAGCTGCTTGAAATGCAGCTGTCTGAACATTCAAAAACGTTTGTTTTATTTATTACCAACATGTCTGGATGTAATTTAAACATAAAACGCCAAAGCAAAGTTCACGATGAGTCCCAGGATTTGGTTGATGAAAGCGTCTCAGGAAACCAAACCAAACATGCTGTCAAGTTCCACCTGATTCTTTGGTGGCTCTTAGACCCTAAAACTGGTTTTAAAGTGTTGTGTGTAAAATAACAGGAGCATACAGTAAAGTTCAGTCGGTCCTCAGAAGGAGATATCCTTCACTAACTTGTACTGGTGCTCTGTGTCTGTGCTAGCACACTTAACAAATGACATGGCAAGGGTTCTGGTCTGACTGAGCAGATCCTTATCACTGCACAGAGGAGCAGAAATAAATAAAAATCAACAGGAAAAACAAGTGACCGTGAAGGTTTCAAGGGAGCAGTATGAATGGAGGGATGATTCAAACGAGATGAACAGAAAGGAGGGAAGAGGGAGAAAAGAAAGGAAGAGAGGATGTCAATACATCGGTATTCTAAGTGGCCACAGTTACGTTGAACATTTTCCTGACTTATCATCACAAGCATAGCAGGAAGTGTAAATGAGATGTTGAAACCAAGGAGTCTGATTTCAGGCTGCCATCTGTAATCAGATCTCTCCAGTCTGGATTATTTCCTTTCGTAGTGAGCGTGACAAATGAGAAGAGGTGGGGAAGTAAAGGAGGGGAAAGTAATGGAGACGGCCTATGATTATTCGTCTGACAGGCTACATCTGAAGAGTGATGCTGAGTTAACAAAACGGCAACAAATTACACAAATTATTTCTGTTGTAGCATCTTTACGATGAACGCAAGGATTTTTCACCGCACAACTCGTTGCATTAACTTCTTCATTCGACGTTTTAGGATGTAAAGCACAAAGTTCTAATGAAACCAGGATCTGTGTCCTGCAGCGCCAAACAAAGACGAAGTCACAAACGAGATGAATCATATTTAAACCAATGGGACACTGAGGATGATGGACTGTGGGGGAAAGGAGGGATCATAAAGCATTGATGAACCAGCAGGCAGCGACATGATGACATGTGAGGCACTCAACCTTTAAATGAATGAAAATCTTTGTGGTTTAAAATATATTATAAATTACATAGGGCAGGGTATCCACAAGGAAATAACTTTATATTGACTTGAATTATCTTGTATTTAATGTTTTTATGAGACCAAAGCCAAACGTGTTTGTGTCTCACAAAAATGATTTGTTTTTCAACCACAGTGATGGATATTTAACAAAAAGAGTGCCTATTCCAGGGGTGTCAAACTTACACAAAAGGGGCCAGAATTCAAAACTTGGTCCAAACCAAGGGTCAATTTTTGTCAGGGTTTATTRAAAAAATGTTGAATAAAAATTATTCTGATAGAAATACAAATTACCTTTTCCAAATTAAGTTTATGTTCATAGAACATATACAATTTACTGAATAAAAAAAACAGACTCGTCAGCATTTGTGCCTCAGATAATTAAAATTGATTTCTCTGCTGCTCTTCCCACACCAAAATCAGATTACTGAAAAATAAAAACTAAATTTTACTGGTTTGAAAGTTGGTCAGCTGTCATGAGAAGAATGTGACAAGAAGAGAAACCATCAAACTGCTTCTGCTATTTCAAGTACTGACTTTGGGGCCAGATAAAATGTTAACGATGGCCAGATTTGGCCCGCAGGCCTTGGTTTRACACACATGGTTTATTTAGACAATTTAAACTTTGTATTTCTTTTGAGAGGTACAACCCACAATCACATGAGACATATGAAGCAACCAATTTGACCCTTAGGGACACCCAAAACCCAGACCAAGGTAAAGATGTTTTAAATAATTTGTCTGCAATTTATTCCCGCTTCTGTTTTGAATATCTACAACCAAATTATTCAAAATTCTTAACTAAATATTTACATAAAATATCAATTCTTAACAACTGTCTAACAATATTATTTAACCTTTTTCACCTGGACAGATCTGAAAGACATGAAACTTTGCTTAAGAAAACATTGCACATTGTAATTTCAGATAAATAAAGAAAAACTGAGAAGAAGAAGATATGATTTGAACATTTGGCTCAGAAAAAAAGAGGATTTATTTAGTGGGTTAAATAATTAACAGGCAGCAACTCACCTCTGCTCCAGCTGTTTCATGGTGGCAGTGATCTGATTGGTCTTCTCTTCCAGACGACTGATCACGTCGTTCTTCTTCTTCATCTCCTCGTCGGAGGACTAAGAAACAACAATTGACTCTCGTTATTAAGCAGCAGGGATTCCCGAGAAGATTTTCCATCTTATAACATCCTCTGAACGATTTGAGGACGAGTTACCTGCATCTTCTGGTACATTTCCACATTGATGGCTTTAACCTCATCCAGCTGATGCCTCAGTCCGATCAGTGTGTCCTGTTAGCAGAAATAAAAATTTCACACATTATGAGAGTGAATGAGTTCAGGTCCACAAATAGGAAATGTGGTTGCAGTGATGTGTTTAGCCTGCGTCTACCATGAAGAATTTTAATACAAGTCACCACTGCAACACGTTGCAAAAAGCTAAATATGAGAAGTTTACTGAAGTCGTATACATAAACAGGTGTCTTATGCCGTTGAATAATTAGTGTCTTATTTTTTGTTTGCTTCAAACGTTTTTATATTCACATTTTTAAAACAAGAATACAATTGGTATACATGCATTTGAGCACATACTGCAGTGTGTTGGTTTAATAAACATAAATGCACACAAACATTTTTAAAATGGCTGTTTTATTACATTTAGGCAAGTGCAGCTCTATGCAGCCCTCAAATAGTGTCAACAAAATGTTGTGGCCCTGTAAATCAATAAAGTTGCCCATCCCTGACTTAAACATATAATTAATTTATTTTTAAAAAAGTAACAGTAAGTATTGACCTGTTTTTCATGAATATCTTTTTCCAGAAGCTTCATAGCCAGCTCCATTTCCTGTTTCATCGACACCTGAGCCACCAACTCATTCTCCACATCCTGAAGATGAAGACAATACAGATATAATCTGTGGTTAACTCATTTTATGTTTGTTTTACAGATATGTTGCGCGGGCACACACACATCCACAGTCTGACCTGTCTTAGCTGGCATTCCTCTTTCAGCTGCCTCCTGGCCTCGTTGTACATCTCATCCAGACCCTGACGGGACTGTTTGTACGTGTCCCTCTCCACCAACACGTCGCCTTGGGTCACCTGAAGACAAAAAATTCAACAAGAAAAAAATAATAATTTAAGCCTCAGTATATTTTATAAGAGCTGTCCTTAATCCTAAATWTTGAAAACCATAACCACTTTTATTTTTTGCTTCATCTATCCATCTTCTACCTCTTACCCATAATAGCCTATAWGCCACGGCCATTGATGAAGTATTTCCRTTAAAATTCCGGCCAATCACTTCCCTTCCGCTTCCTGCCTACTGCCTGTTGTTGTTAGCGTTAGCTCCTAGYACTAGTGAAAAAGTCACTAAGTTAAAGCATCTGTGAGCTACTGGTGTAAAACGTGAGTTTTGTTGTGTGCCGTTGTGTCCACTAACCAGCAGTACGATCGAGTAGTTAGTTTTTCTCCATTKTCCTCTTGATGAGRAGGTGACAGCAGTGGATCRTAGCATTACAGGGAAAACTTAKCTWTAAAAGCTCACGCTTGTGTTTGTAATCGGCATTTCTAATCTGAGGATATTCAAGAGTCAGCATCAGAAATGAGAAGATGGAGGTTACAAAARGGAAATGTACATTTTTCCCCTTTTACTGCCAAGACMAGAGAGGAAAGACCACCTCCAGAGGACAGCTAGGAGGAAGCTAACACAGCAGCAGCCAGTAAAGTGACTTTCTGGATCATGATTATGCTGCTACTCCAGACTCTGCAGTTGTGGATTTAGTGCTGGAGGTAAATTATATTATCCAGGAGGAAATCCACCAGCTACGGGAACAGTTTGAGAGCCTGACGCTGAGGCAGCAGTTCGTCATTCACCGTTTTGCTGCTTCCAACAAGAACATTAGATCCTTCACAAGGTAAGTGTGTGTGCGTGTTTGTGTCATACAGAGTATGAAATTATTTTAGGCAAGTTTTTCACGAGTTTTATGCAAAAGTAAAAACTTGTTCGAGTGTATATTACAGTGTAGACAAAACCCGAGGCCCCCCCCCCTTTTTTTTTGCCTTTTGACTCAACTCTTTCTTCACATCCTCATTTCTGCTGACAAGCCCCTAATCCATGGATTCATCAGTCTTCCTTCCATCACTGGTGAGCAGGTAAAAATGTGTGTACCTCTAAATGTTGTTGCGTCTTAAGCAGAATCAGGTTGTTTTCGCGCCTCAGCTGCTGGTTTTCTTCCTGCAGTTTGATGATGTTGTTCTTTGCTATGGCGAGCTGCAGACACATGTGTAGAGTTATCAACAGTGTTAGTGACGATTTATTGTGAAAACATTATTTCTCAAATGTTCATGTTGCTTTCACCTCTTCTATCAGTTTGGAGTTGGACTTCTCTAAAGAGTCAACTCTGCCCTGAAGACCGTGAACTGTGGAACTGCACAAAAACAAAACATCTTGATTACCACAGTTTCAGTACATTTATCCTTTTTAAAATACACATTTATTATTGTAGCTAGGGATGCACCGATACCGATACCAGTATCGGGTATCGGTCTGATACCATGTGCGTTAACTCGTACTCGTACTTGTAAAAGTGCTCCGATACTACAGGACCCGATACCAGCTTCTTTTCTCTCAGTTTGTGCATAGACGCTCTAAACCAGCAGGCGGCGGAATCGCGCAACAGACTTAATGCCAGCTGCATAAAAAAACAGAAGAAGACGACAACGACCACGTTAGCCGAGCTGAACAAACGTTAACAAGCAAGCAGTTTGTAGAGGAGGCGTTATGTCAGCGGTGTGGAGGTATTTTCAGGTGACAGTAGTAAGACGTCATCCCTGCTGTGACCGTGCTTCTGAGACTCCTAAACAAAGACACTGGTGAAGATCACGGGATCAAAACAATGAAGTCCACTTTGGCTGCAGCTGTCAAGAAGCGCTTCATTGATGCTGAGAAAAAACCCCTGTACTGCATCTACTGTACTGGATCCAAGGTAAATTAAATAAATAAAAATGATTTAAAATAATAATATAAGCCTTGATTTGCCTAAAAATATTTTTTATTTTTATAAGCATTTATTTGCCAAGTAATCTGACGGAGGAAAAATCATTATGACCAAGCTACAACATGTTACAAATTAAACATTTATTACTTAATTACAATTAATTTAACATACTACAAAGTTTATTTAGTTTAGTTTATTTATATAGTTGATGGTACAATGCTCTAATATTCAGTGAAGGCCCTGTAACACATTTTAGATAACTTGAGCCGATCATTAAAATTTTTACATCTACGATGAAGATGGAATAAAAAATAAATAAACTGGAAGTCTCTTTTAGGTGTATTAGGTTTATTTATTTATTTTTTGTACATGCTGTCATAGTATGGTTATATGACAGTAAAATGGTTTTAAACCAATAGTAAGGTACTTTGTTTATTTATGTTTGAAGTGCCTAATAAAAATAAACAGTTTAAGTTAATTATAAGGATTTTTAAGGATATTTATTGGTACTTGTATCAGTACTTGGTATCGGCAAGTACTTTAATGTAAGTACTTGTACTCGTACTCGGTTTTCAAAAATCTGGTATCAGTGCATCCCTAATTGTAGCAGTTTAGTATTTATAGCTGAGATGCTACATAATGAGTAATGTTTTGAAAAGAATCCAAAAGTCCTACTTCAGCTGTCGGTTCAGTTCCTCCACATAGTTCTTCTGATCCAAAATGGATGCTATCTGGCTGTTCCTGTTGTCATGGAAACAGACATTAAACAGATTTGTGCATCTCATTCAGAGAAAAAAGAAAAAAACATGTGAATGAACAAGCAGAAAAACGGTAAAAGACTGTACCTCTCCTCACTCCTGTAATCATCGATGTCATTCTTCAAGTACATGGAGAAGTCGATCACTCCAACCTTAACAGAATAGATTCATAAAATAAGTAAGAAGAGAAGGCAATTTTTAAGTCTTGTTTCTCCTTTTGTGCACAATATGGTCAGGTAGAAACAAATAAAAAAACAAAAAGGCAGCCAAAGTCTAAAGAAAAACTTTAAAAGATCTTAAAAGACCCAGAAGAACTCAATAAGATTGTTCTGGTTAAAAAAAAACTATCTATAGAGGCAAAATATAATGACATAGCATAGCATAGAAAAGCATAGCATAGCATTGTATAGAATAGCATAGCATTGCATAGAATAGCATAGCATTGCATAGAATAGCATAGAATAGAATAGCATAGAATAGCATAAAATAGAATAGAAATAGAAATAGCCTTTATTGTCCCGCTAAGTGGATATTCAGGTGTCACAGCAGCACCAGTACAGAGGTTCATACACTAGTTTACAAACTATAGACAATGCATACATTAGGGGTGGTATAAAACTTTTGCACAGTGCTGTATATTAGCATCTTCAAAAAGAGTTTGGATGGTCTCACATCTCATTCAGCCTTTACGATTAAAAATAACATCTCTATTTTCTCTGCATTTATATTACAAATATCCAAGGCTACTTTCACACTGCAGGTCTTAATGCTCAATTCTGATGTTTTTGCACAATTTTACTGCGTGAACGTTCACGTTAGATTTTAATGCAGCCTCCATCTGACTCCAGTGTGAACTCTCCACAGCACTGATGCAACCTGCAACATGCTGAATGTTAAACTAACTATAGTATCGATCCAGTAACTTTWGCATTGATACGGTCCGACATCGACGTTATTTCTGTGAATTCCTGGTCATCCAGGACATGATTCATTAAACGGAAAAAGACAAAGGAACTGGATTGAACTGTTCTGAAGCTGAAAACGTGCGGAGCTACAAGATTTAAACAGCATGAATTTGACGCTCGGATTTGTCTCGTTCAGACTGCCGTGAAAAAATTCCAATCTGCGTCACATAGGGGCAAAAAAATCCGATGTGGGTGGCATTTGCCTGCAGTGCAGACGCAGCCCAACCCTTTTTCATTCTGATGTGAAGACGAGCTGTGCTGGATGTCTAACATGGTGAGAAACATGCAAAGTCTCCACCCAACTGTTACACCACAGCACCAGCTCTGCCTGACGCCAAAAAAAAAGTGCCCCGACAAGGAGTTCCTGTCTGTGCTTCCTGAAATGCCACAACGCTAAATAAACCATTTCAGGTCAAGGAGACAGTTGGAGGACGGGTATGTAGATGTGAAAAATTATTATTTTTTTATACTACAGTTACAAGTTCAGAGTAAAACGAATGATGTCAAATTGCTGTTTCACAGAAGCGGTTACCTGAGAGTCCAAGTCTTCGCCTTTGACACACAGATTGGCATCGATGACGTTCAGGCCCACCAGCAGGCCTACGATTACCGCTCCCTCCTCCTCCAGCATCAGCGCTGAATCCTCATAAAAATCACTGAGAAGGACGTTACAACCAATTCTCACGAGTCAGCAGCTCATTTATCTTTAACGAAGGTGCGATGTCAAAAGAAGACAAATATATTTGACAGTATTTTCCATGCAGGTACCTGAGGAGGTCTTTTCGAGTGATGAGGAGACGCAGGTAGTCGGCCAGTCGTTTCTGCATGAGGGCCAGACGCAGCCAGGCTCTGGCTCTGCCCAGCGGAGTTCTGCAAAACCCAAACGTGCATAACGGTGATGAGGGTGGACTTTGAAAAGATTTGGGACGAGCATGTTCGGACAAGCAGCAGTCAGTTTCTGCAAAAACTAGCTTGGGTCTTTCATATTTTAATTAGAAAAACGTTCATTTTACATTTACAGTAATGTGCATAATTTCCAGACCTAACAAACCTTTGTGTTTGTAAAAGATATTAAACTTTTATTCATTTAATATGCCTTTTTTTGTTTGTTTGTTTGTAACTTCTGGCGCAGACACAGTCTTCCAGCTAACGTTCGAGTCCGTCCTGCTTCGGTACACATCTTCTGGTCTGACTCAGCACTACCAAAGAGGAAACAGTGAGCTTTCCACAAAACAGCACACGTTCCTCATTTTGCTGAATCAAACAGTCGTGAACATTTCTCACAAGGTTTCCTGTCTGGACATTCATCAGTTATTGTTAACCTTTAAATGTGCGTTCACGTCTGGACAAAAAGTACAGGTCCTTCTCAAAAAATTAGCATATTGTGATAAAGTTCATTATTTTCTGTAATGTACTGATAAACATTAAACTTTAATTTATTTTAGATTCATTGCACACCAACTGAAGTAGTTCAAGCCTTTTCTTGTTTTAATATTGATGATTTTGGCAAAAAAGTAAAGAAAAATCAAAAATCTCTATCTCAAAAAATTAGCATATTTTATCCGACCAATAAAAGAAGTGTTTTTAATACAAAAAAAGTCAACCTTCAAATAATTATGTTCAGTTCTGCACTCAATACTTGGTGGGGAATCCTTTTGCAGAAATGACTGCTTCAATGCGGCGTGGCATGGAGGCAATCAGCCTGTGGCACTGCTGAGGTGTTATGGAGGCCCAGGATGCTTCAATAGAGGCCTTAAGCTCATCCAGAGTGTTGGGTCTTGTGCCTTAAGCTCATCCAGAGTGTTGGGTCTTGTGTCTTAAGC